AATTGTACCTGATGACGGTCTGGGATGCTCCGTTGGAACGCCACTATGTCATGGGCCCATAAGAAGCAGCGCCAGCTAGCGGCCGTGTGCCTCTCTCGCGGAGTCACTTAGTCCTGAATGTGACTTGGCAGGGAACGCTAACGGGTCTACTACGTTATACGTGTTAACTTCCCCAGTGCTTCCGCAACATGCATTCCACACCATCAAGACCGCCGTTCTTGGCAGACGATAGGTAGGAGCTTGAGTTGAGAACGAGAAAACCTCTGTCAGGCCAACCATACCCCCCTCTCCCCAGTGATGCGCAGTGAATAACGCGCCCAAGTATAGCACCCAGTGAATGCCGCACAGGCATAGCTTGCAGGTGTTGCCATGTTGGGTACTGGCGGTCCTTTCTACTTTCTGGCTCCCTCTAGCTGCGGTGTGAAACTAACACGGTGAACCGAACGCTCGCGGAACATAAAATACCGGCATGGCCGCGAATGACGTTAAAGCCAAGCTATGTTTAGGCCATAGGGTGTACAGTCCTCAGATATTCCTACTAGGCGAGTTTGTCACTGGGAAGTGACAGCGCTCGCAACTAGAGTTCCCTTGGCCGTGCAGAGGCACTTTACGTCCCGAGCGCGTTACTCATTGAGCTTCTCGCTGGCTGATTTTGAAGCAAGAGGGAGAAACCTTACCGGTCCCATCCTTTTGGTTCCATGCCCTTTTAAAGCCTAAGTCGCACTGCGTATGCATCATGCAAAAGACAGTCTGCATACAGTCTTGAACGCGGGTCACCGCGAGATCCGTGCTTCGAATGCCGCAGGGCAATGAGTTCAAGGAGAAAACTTGGACACGCGGCATTCGAACCACGGATATATTGCGGTGACTCGTGTTTGCAGACTGTCTTTTGTGTGATGTACAAGCAGTGTGACCCCGGCTTAAGGTGGCCATAGTCACTGACAAGTTGAGAACGGCCAGGGAGGAGCTTCAGTTTTCCCGCCTCCAGGGCCAGCTTCCTACCTTCGACATCGCTTCGGCGTCTCGAGGATATGGAGCGCGCGCGCAGTTAAAGCACGACGGAAGTCATGGAGCGCGTGCTCAAAGCCGGGCATTCGAAAGACACGCCCTGCCGTTTTTACTTTTTGAGGGGCTGTGGTTTTGGGTCCTCTGCTCGGAAAGAAAGGAACGCATTCGGCGCGAGCTTTTTACTTTCCAACTCTTTTAAGAATCACTTGAGCTTTGAGCTTGCACGCCTAGCCAAAGCACCAGGGAAGGCAACAAGCACGTGCCGGAGGATGGGCATTAAAAATAAAAACTACCTGAATTTTTTCTTTTTTTTTTTTTGCTGTGACATTTTTATTTAATTACTTATAAGTAGGGTTCAAAGTTTTCTGTTTAAACCAATAAAAACTGATAAAAGTACGCCGAATCTATTTTCGGAAATTCAGTTTTATCCGAAAAATGTCAGTTTTTAGGTTTGACATTTTCGATTTAAACCGATAAAAACCGATAAAAATACGCCGAATTTATTTTCTAAAATTCATTTTTAAACGGAAAAGGTCACTTTGACCTTCCAGTCGTACTGCAGAGCCGTGGCGAGAAAGTGGAACGACAGTGTCTATCGAAACGTGTCCGAATGTATGGGATACACAGGCGCCATCACGACGTTTTAGTTTAATGTGCGCATCATCGATCGGAACGTGAAGTCCGAAATGCCCCATGACTTGGCCATATACGAGCGTGTTTTTTTAATTCGTTGTAAGGAAGACTGACTTGATGCAAGCTCTGCATGCTGTGTTGAGCTTCAAAACATCGCACCGTCTCTTTTGGCGGTCACAATTGGTTCATTGGCCGATTTTGGCTCAGACAGAACTTCATCTCTTCAGCCTGCCACTGTCCAGTGTTAGCATTGAGGGGGAATTTTCGAAGATCAGGGTCATATTAACAGAAAAGAAAGACTGCGGATCAACGAGGAGAACCTGCGAAAGTACACCTGTGTGCGTACTATAATAAGATCACATCATCCTGATATACAGAAGGTGTAGTTCCATGTTTTTTGGGCATAGTCTTTATATCTGATTTGTATGTACTTCTGTATGTTTTTTTTTCTTGTTTCTTTTACAGTTGCACACGTTTGCCAAATAAAGTGTCCATTTATTTTTCAATGTATCTGTGCCGTTATTTTTTGACTGATCACAAATATCAGATCTACATGGATCACCTGATCCGGAGTACGGTGGTGTTTATTTTTTATATTAACCGAAAAAAGCCGATAAACTTTTGTGGGCATAAATATACGCCGAAAAAAAATGAAAATATAATTTTAAAATAAATATTGAAAAAATAACGCCAAATTTTGAAAAAATTGAAACCGAAAACCTTACTTACAAGTTTTTCGCGTATCTCTGAAGCGTGCTCCGCCACATAGCCTTTAGTTGTGTGGGGAAAGTCACCTTGCAGGAGGAATTTCTGAATATTGTTGTGTGGAGGGGACATGTTTCCAAACTTCGCGATTATTCATATATATGACTAGTGCCGGCAGATATTTATTGTAATACCAATTGCACGTTGTTCCGGATTTGTCTAAGCACTGTTTAGACGCAACCCCTAAGGTTCATAATATATAAGGAATACGTTCGTTTTATAGCTCATCGCAAACAACGAGGAAAACTGTAGGAGCGTTAACTCCACAACTCGGGGCTAAAACAAACTGCCTGGTATTCGTTTCACTGTTCGTGCCTTTAGTATTTATCCCATTCACTTTGGGCGGCGAGAAATAGGCAAATTTACGCTCCTCTTAAAAGAATTCAAAGAGTCAGCCGAAGTGTCTTCTGCACAATAGTGGCACTCGCCCATGTGCAAGACATCTGGCAGCCCATTTGTGGCATCTTTATTGTCTGAAAACACTGTCTGTACATCTTCATGAATTACGGTCGCACTAATCTTAGCTCATATTTTTTAACAAATTCTAATTTGACAAAAAAACGTATAGGGAGATAAGAGAGATGGGAAAGGGGGGAAGCAGGGCTGCCGGACAATGTCCCCAAAACGCTGAAAATTACACATAATATTCACGCGCGTCTTCTGCCCTCGTCGGTAGTCAGAAGCTCCTCAAGACGCTCAAGAATGCCGTAAACTTTGAATCATTGTCCAACGAATTCAGTGAGGAGTCGTCGGAGCAACTTCCGAACAACGTCCAAGCGGTCCCGACGGAGCCTGCTTCCGACGCTCTTATCAGCTGAGCAGCGACGTTTCACCCGGGGACCAATCAAGCCCGTCCGGAACTCACCCTCTGTCCATTAATCAAAGGCTAATTCGATTGTTCGGAGGCCCGAGCTGCCGCCGAGTGGAGGAAGAGCGGCGCGCGCGCCAACTCGCCGAGATCCCCTCCAAAGCCCTCGTCCTAATTGGAGTCGGATGTGCTGCCGAGGCGATCCTAGGCCTGTCCGGCCACACGTGTATACAGACCGACCGGCCTAATTGTCCGAAAGAAACAGCGGTTGCGATCTGCACTCTTTCCGACTTGCGGGCGAATACGAGCCGGTTTCTATAGACTCGCATGTGTTGGGGCTGGATCTAACACACCCTCCTCCGCTTCTTGTCCTGCGTAAGCGGACTTGAGGCACGACACGGCGTTGTAACTCTAATTATACTGCTTGTCACTGACGTACGGGACCTCGTTATCTCCCAGTTTTTTTGTTTTTTTTATATATATATATATATATATGTTACCGAGGATTTTCGCATTCGTCTCGTGCGATAACTTCGCGGTCACAAATATAATAAGATGGTGGATCCTGGTAAAGTAGCGACAAGCTCTCTGTTTGGTTGCCATTTCAATTTGTGGAACTAACCCTTTCAATTTGACACCTGCACTTTTCTAATTGATCTAAATTCAATGTGAAAGGTTGATTTATAAAGACATTTATTGTATAGCAAACTTTTGTCATCCGCACACCGGCGAAAAAAGCGCAAATCTTCGCACCGCCACCACATCCGACATTGGAGCTTGGCGGCATTTTAATATTTTCTTTCTCTATTGAAATAGGCAAGAATATAAATATTTTATTAAAAAATCTGAGAAGATAAGCACACGCGATAAAAATGAAAGACGTTTACAATTCCCCGTAATGCCGAATTAGAGCGCAGCTCTTGAGGAGAGGAGGGTACGGAGTGGAGGTATTCCTCCTCCTCCTCGGTACCCTCTCCTTCTCCTCTCCTCCTCCCCCTCCCTACCTCCTCCATCGTGACGTCACTCGTGACGTTACACGTGACGTAACTCGTGGCCCTCGTGACGTCCGTCGTGAAGGCCTCGTGAAGGTCACTGTGCAGGTTGTGACCTTCGTCGTGACCTTCGTCGTGACCTTCACGAGTGACCTTCGTGACCTCATTCGTGACCATCGTCACATCACTTGTGACTCTCGTTACGTCACACGTGACGCCACGTGTGACGTCATTACGGGAAACGTTCTATAACGCAACGCGCGGTTACGCCGACGGCGACGGCGACGCCGCTCAAGCCGGAAAGGGGCGCCTATTAAACTTTGCTCTAAAACAGCCCAGGGCCCGTTTGCTCGAAGAGCTAACCGCGGTTAGCGTTGGCCAAAGTCCCTAGTAGGTACCGAAAGTACCTAGTTGTACCTACGTTGTACCTACTACGAAACTTTAATGGCTGGACATAAAACAAATCCGTCCTTTATTATTGGGCTGGAGCCTGCGCCACCTTGTGCTGAAAAAAATAAATCGTTATTTTTTTATGATACAACGTTTGCTTTATGGGAACCGTTTTCGGCTAAATCTAGTTGTAACTTGCAAGAAACGTTTGCTCAATTGAAAAGAAAAAGGACAGTTTCTTTTTTGCATCGAAATTCTTTCTTTCGAAGTGTGGAAGCGTAGACAAGACACCTAGTCAAAGTGCTTTGCAGTTTTCTGTTGTCGTGTTTTGCAAAAAGCAAGTGCGTCGACCGTCGCTTCCAAGTCTGGCAACGCCGTGTGTGCCGTGTCGCGAGCACGGCGTTTGTTTATACAACCAGTTTCGCCTCGTTGCACGCAACGCGCGTTTCTCGTTTTCGGTTATCATCTGAGTTTTCCTGTCTGTATTCTGCCCTTCGACCGACCGACCCACCGACAAACCCTCCGACCGGCCACGGACTGACTGATAAGATTTGCGGACCGATTTCCGACTTTGCTACCGGGCAGAATGTCCAACGCAAGGAATCGCCGACACAGAAGAGACCGCACGGACGCGCAGTACGCAGCGGCAATGATGAGGCGACAGCGTGTGCTGCGGGACCGCCTGAACCCCTTTGAGGATTTCGACGAGGATGGGCTGCAGCAACGGTTCCGATTTGGAAGAGCGGGCATAATGTTTCTCGCCGACACACTGCGTCCGGACTTGGAGCGCCGTACACGTCGTAGCCGCGCCCTCTCTGCGGAGCAGCAAGTGATCATCGCCTTGCAGTTCTACGCAACTGGGAACTTTCTGATCACTGCAGGCGACTACATCCGCGTGCATGTGTCAAGTGCTTCACGGGCTGTGAGGCAAGTCACCGTAGCGCTGGCTCGTCGAGCACAAGACTTCATACGGTAAGGGTCCTTTTTTTTTCCTTTTAATTGTAGTTTGCCAGCCGTATTGAAGTAAAGTAAATACACTAAAAATATATCTGAATTGCTGGTGATAGGGATGTTTTGTAGGTTGCCTTTTTATGGCAGTAATATTCTACCTACTAGTAACTAGCCCTCCCTCCCCTCCCCCCCCCCCCCTTTTCAATACACCAACTCAACTCTCCTACGTCACGCCGCGGTGGTGGCGCGCCGGACGCACTTCCGGTCTGGGGCGGTGGGCAGAAGTCGCCGTGCCAGACATGCATTCCTGTGTTCCTTTGGAAGAAACAAGACAAAAAACCTGCCCTCTCGTCAAAATGCTGCGATGGGGGCTTTACCAAGAGAGTCTGGGAAGGTTTGAAGATCAGTTTTCATGTGTTTTTGCACCCTCCGTTCGTCCGAGAACGTGGATAGCAGCCGTGAAAAGGCCAAACCTGACGCTGTCGAACTACGATTGCGTGTGCGGGCCACAATTTGTAGTCGCCAGATGTATTTGCTTTGTTCCAACATGACCGAGAGAAAACCCCCAAGTTGTCCGGACCACCCACGGATTCAGTGCGTCTTCAAATTCACACGGCCGCCTGATCGTTCGAACTTTCGTCTGCTCTTTCAAAGTTGTCTGCTTTTTGTCATCTGCTCGTTCAAACAAAAGCGGCCCGTAGACCAAACTTTGACCCGGTGATTGCAATAAGAAGTAATTGCAGGCCTCAAAAGACTTAAGTAGGCTCGGTGTAAACAGTAGATACAGGATGTTAATTATTGGTACCGGTGGCCATCACCTACTTGTTACGCTTTGTCTGTTAACGCTTCCGATTTTCAGTATCGACGTCGATCATCGCCGCTACCTTTTACACTTTTGCAGCACGAGCGACGTCGTGACCGAAAATAGCTACAAGAATCTCATCATGGTTTTGGCGTCCATTCTGCAGCGTTCATGCGAATGAATCGCCGCACGTCAAATTATTTACGGAAAGTTTAGCGGCGTAACGAGCCTTGATAATTTCGCTCAGGCGATTGAAGTGGTAAGACATTGCGTTGAGGACGTAGAATCGACAACTCCAACGCGAAAAAGAGTATGCAGACTCACACAGACGTCGACAACGTGACATTCGAATGGTTTGTTGACGCGGGACGCGGTGCTTCTTGCCCGTACTCCATTGCGCGTGCGTTCGAACTGTCGTCTGCTCTTTCAAACTTGGCTGCTTTTTGTCGTCAGTTCGTTCAAACGACAGCGGCTCGTAAACCAAACGTTGACCCGGTAATTGCGATAAGAACTAAGTGCAGGCCTCAAAACACTTTTGAAGGTTGGTTGGGGTAAGTCGGCTAAGTGTAAACAGATACAAGAAGTTGTTGATCATTGTTACCAGTGGCCATCACCGACTTGTAATGCCCGATTCTACTTGAGGTTTTCAGTATCGATGTCCACAATCTCAGCTACGGTCCACGCTTTTGCAGTTCGAGCGACGTCGCGACTGAAAATAGCGAGCAGAATCTCGACGTGGGAGTCCGGCCTTAGCGCCCATTCTGCGGCGTCCACGTGAAATGAATCACCGCACGTCACATTATTCACGCAAAGTTTTGCCTCGATAGTTTTGCTGAAGCCGCTCAAGTAGTCAGACATTGTTAGGAGGACGTAGAATCAACAATTCCAACGCGAAAAAGAGCACGGGGACTCCCACCGACGCCGACAACAACGCAATTCAATGGTTTGTTTATGGGCGACGGCGGGCTTCTCGCCCACCATCCACGGCGCATGCGCGGCGCCGGTGACGTCCGCTAGGGGCGCTCCGGTTTGTTTGTAAACATGAGTTGGTGTATAGAAAAAAAAATGATTACGGCCGTAAGCGTCCTACTTGCCCGATTGGAAAGGGCCCGGGCACGCCATTTTTCTGAGAAACCTCAGAAAGCGACCCGTTTGCACTTTTGGTAAGGACTTGCACCGAATCACAGTCACTTTATAGGTCTTGGTAACTGAACAAAAATAAAAAGGGATCCTATGAAAACATGCAAACTTCACTATTGAACAGGTGCTACTGAGGCACTTTACTGCTACCACAAACTTGAAGGGCACAGCCAAAGTCCTTAGCATTCCTCATTAAAAAGGTATTCATAAGCATTGTAGCTGTAAGTTTACTATATGTGGTTTAATTGCTGAGGGGATCAACGACGCAGATGGCCTGACGCTGCGGAGGGGGCAGCCTTGCAGCACAAGTTCTACGACATGGCCGGCTTTCCTTTGGTCGTGGGTGCTGTTGACGGTACCCATGTCCGGATCCAGGCACCCCATGTGCACGAGGAGGCGTACGTCAACCGCCATGGATACCATTCCATCAACGTACAGGTGGTCGTTGACGCCTCTTCTCGGATTCGCAACGTGGTTGCAAGGTGGCCTGGAAGCACCCACGACTCTCGGATCTTCACGGAGAGCACCTTGGCAGTCAAGCTGGCCAGTGGAGAGTACGACGGCCTGCTGCTTGGTGACAGCGGCTACTCCTGTCAACCTTGGCTGATGACGCCATTCCTGTCGCCGTCATCAGCAGCCGAGGTCGCATACAATACGGCACACACGACGACAAGAAGCATTGTTGAACGGTAAATCTAGGCCATATATTGTGAAGGGCACAGAGATATTCATGCAAGACATTTCGAGACGACTAGCTGTCTTGACGTAATATGTGCAACACGTGCATGCTCCTTACGTCTGTTGCTATTCTTTATGGCATAAAAATATTCATACAAATTTTTATATTAATCTAACGAAGCATAAGATACCGTGGTTTTATGTAAGCAAGATGAAAGTAGTATCCTGAGATTACGAATCAATACAACTTATAATAGCTGCCTAGGGTTCTGCGGTTTCAGTTTTTATTTTTCTGGAATCGGCATACTTTTTTCGGTTGTTATTGTGAGTATGAAATTTTCAGTTTTTATCGATGAATATTTTTAGTCGAAAGCTTACTGCCTTTTTCCGGTCGATATCTATTGACCAGTTACGTTTTTTTTCAAGCAGGTTTGTCGAGAATGCAGTAGATTAGGTTCATATCTGAGTTATTCGTCAAGCGGCAACACTTGCGGACATGGCAAACGTAACCTTGGTTATACATGTGCTGTGACGACAAATTTTTAATCGCAAAATTTGCAAACGTAATTCTTGGCACGCTTCTTTGTTCTTCACATGTGGAGGACTATTAAAGCTGCTTTCCTCTAACCAGATAGCACCTTGAGAGAGGCTGTTTAAACAGCTTTGGTTTTTTTCTTATGCTCCCTACAATAGGAACAGAATGACATTCCATTCCTCCCAGAACAAAAGTAAGACCAAATGGCTTGACAAACAATGAAAACGCTCCAAATCCGCCCTCTAGACGACCACAGCAAACTTGATGGACAAAGGAACGCAAATTGCATCGATGACAAACCCAAATACTTCCTAAAGTGTGCTTCCAACAGAATAGTTTGAAAGCACGGAGATAAGATAGTTGACTACTCGGTCACATGCTTCTATACTCTGTTTACTCGGTCACATGCACCTGTAATGGTCTAAAGTACTGACCATTTAGGTTTAAAATCAAACTTTCGAAACTTACCTCACCACACTTTATTGGGTTTTATCGCTTGAGACTGAAAATGCAGAAACTCAGTTATGTCTTAGGTCCCCAGGACTGGCAATAATGGGGAAAAGCACTAAACTCACCTCAGGTGCCAGTGCTACGCAAGACCCGGACAGAAGTTGATATTTTGTTAATTGGACAAAAAGAAGCATTAATGACAATGGAATTTTTTTCCTAGACACAGCAGTGGAAGTAACACTGTGCCTTGGCACTTTCATATGTCTACTTTTTGAAATGTCAGTTTCGGGCTGTTTAATGAAAACTAACTAAACGTGCTAGATATGTATGTACTCATATTGAGTGCACAAGTACAGCTAAGCTCGTGCGTGCTAAGATGCGTGTGATCCAAAAATAGCGGCACATCGGTGTAAGTCGCAAACAATTGTGTGTTGCTGACCGTCTTGACCGATTGGCCAAGAGTACATGCCTAGCATGACCTATTCTGCTCTCATCGATGGATTTAAGAGTAGTGCCAAGGCATCATTTTGGACAATGTTGAAGTTGAGCATGCAATAACAAGTTTCCACAAATAGTCTCTAGACACCATCTTACACGTCATTCACGACTGATGATGAGTCGCTGCAATCTCAAATGTTCAGGCAAATCTTGCTTGGGATTCCGTTGTGAAAGCACCATAAGACCCTCTACCAAAACTTTGGCTGCATGCGTCCAGGAGCTTCCACTTGAGTCAGAAATGGCGGTGCGTGGACCACTAACTAATAGGAACACTAGCGGCACAATCAAAGGGTAGGAGTACTTGGATAAGGCGTTATATCAAGTGCTTTACGTTTTACATCTCCCAGACTTACAAGACGGATTCTTATTGATCAATGACAAAAGTAGATGGGTTGCGCTACCACGAACATCTATTCCTGGAGAGTGGAAGGGAAAAGGCTCAACAAGACAAGAGTCTGGCTCTCTTTCTCTTTTCACTCTGTCTCACAAGTAACATGTAGAATGAAATTTTGATGGTACTGTATTTGTTGCAGTATAAAGCTTGGTTACAAGTTAATTCTTACAGCGTTGGCAGCAATCAGGTAGCAAAAAATTCTAACATATTGGCCTGTGCATATGCAGGTGTTTGGTTGGAAGCATATCCACGAAACCCTTTGAGGATAGCGCTTGAATAAAGCTGCACTTTGCTTGTTGCTTTCTATAAAATACATTGCACAGGCTAACCTCAGGTGACCCCGGATGTGAACGCAGTGTAAAAATAATTCGGAAGGAAAATAAAATGGTATGCATAATGCCCAGCTTTCGATATCCTGGAGCAATGGGCTGGAGCTTGGGCTGGAAAAATTAGGAGGTGTGATATCGGGCACGGCAGCCAATTTGCGATTCGAATTCAGCTGTAAATTTGTCCTTGTTGCGTGTCATCCTCTTGAGTATTTGCGTTCCACGCTGTTGTCCGATTTTGCTATTGGGTTTCTGGGAAGGAATAACATGTGGTTTTGATCCATGCGCTCTGTACAGGACAATCGGCCAACTCAAGCGGAGGTTCCATTGCCTTCACGCTGAGCTCCGAATGGCTCCAGAACGGTGCTGCGACATCATTGTCGCGTGCTGTGCCCTCCACAACCTGGCCAAGAGGTACCCCTGCAGGACACCCGTGGCCGCCATCCCCGCTGAGGTTCCCGTTGAGCCCGTAGCAGCCAACCGTGCTGAGAGCAACGAGGCCCGAGACTTTATTGTCAACCATTTCTTCGGCTAAGTGTAAGTGTCTGGATAGGTATCTTCTGGCTGTCCATTTCTAATGCAAGATGCTTTGTTATGATCGTGGCTATTGCTTTCACCTTTTGTTTATCAGGCTTTGCAGATAATTATAAGAAAATTATGTCAGACAGTTGTCTAACTAGATCAAATAATTGCTTGAAATAATATTTATTGTTTTGCTACTTAAACATCAATTGTATTTTTGGAAACTGCAACAGTTAGGGGCTCAACCGTGCTGCACAGTTAGCAAGAAGCCAACAGCTTTGAGATATTGATTAATTTTATTTTAAGCTTTTTTTGTATGATCTAACTGGATGTAAGATTATCATAAGTTCTACCCAAAATAACCCATAAAGGAGTGTGACACATGTGACAATGCTGAAAGTGTGTTATCAACATGACAATGACATTCCAGCAATGCATATATCACTCTTGCACAGATCAATTCGGGTAGTGCTTGCAGATATCCCACATAGAGTTTCGAAATTTGGATGATAGAAATGTAAAGAATGATTGATGGACATCCCCTTATACCTGTTGCTTCCATAGCAGTATGTGTAAATTGCAGCATGAGCGACGAAATAAGTAATGAAAAAAAATTTTCTTACTTCCCGCATTATTGTTACAAAGCTCGAAATGTGTCATTTGAGGCACTTATAATTAGCTCGTTGGAAAGAGTGTGCTCGAAAAAAATCCCTGCCGAAGCTATTGGTCAAACGGGAGTGCAGTGCAATGTCCAACACTCCTGCAATCGCACGCTGCAGCTCAACTGCTTGTTACTGCTTTGGTCTCCTCCCCATCAACTCCTGCACTCTCGCAGAGCTACAAGCATAGGCACACACGGGCTCTCTTAAACTAATAGATTTTGAATTTGATTTCCGGAGTTCATAACAATGCACTTTTCAAACTTCTAACTAATGACACGAGGGATGCTTCTTCAAATTTGTGCACTTCTTCGCACTCTCTGGAGCTCTCTTTTTATACTGTCATTATTTTTTGTAATACATTTCCCACACCGACGGATGCTTTATGGGAAGTGCTGAAGTCAGCCCTATAACAGACTATGTGTGCACAGTTTATAATGAGGCAACTGAAGAAGACAGTTATTTTCCCATTCAATATCTACAAACCGATACTATTTAATGGGTACAGGAGCATGAATAGGAGAGTATAGTGAAACAATGTTCATTTGATACCAATTTCAAAGCTATCAGTACAAATTATATATACTACCCCATAGAATGTTCATTTTTCACTGCATACTCATGGTTACTAGCTCATAGGATTTACATAGTGTACGCTTCTGAGTGTTGAGTCATAACACCTTTCACAGGTTTTTCCAACCTGCAAAGCTTTTCTCTTATTTTTCACAAACCTCCTAGGGTTAGTTCATATTTTCTTCATCCTGGCTGGCATGATAACATCATTTGCAAAACATTTATTTTTAGTAGGGCATTGTCCAGAGAGGAGCTTTATTGTACATACTACACTCTCATTAATTCAAACTCCAGAAAGTCACATATTTTAGTTGGATATATATGATACTAGAGAACATTATGATTTGTTACATGGATAGCGATATATACAAAGCAGATTTTGGCCAGTTTCCTCTACATAGCACAATAGCTTGCTTATAGTTAATGCATAACTATAAGCAAGTACAGGCATAACACATTTGTGAAAGAACTGTGACTAAGTTTATTCATCCGGCAAAAAAAGTCGTCAATTGTGGACTGTTTAGTCAGCACATGAGATCTCAAAACAAAATTTCCAATGCCAGCCAACGCAAGCAGCTCTTTACGGGACTTTTCCTTTGCAGACAGAAACTTCCGGAGCTGAGCGATGTGCTCAAAGGCCTCTGCGGCTGTGACAGTTCGTAGTGGGTCATCCATTTCTTCATCGTCATCTTCACTGTCACTGCTGCACTGTGCTGGCATTACTTTCCGTACTATGTCCTCTAATGAGTCATCATGACAAACACACACATCGTCGTCAAGACTAATATAGTTCGCCTGCACGGCGTTCACATTACGTGTTTCAAGGCCAGAAATCATGATGCCAGTGAGCTGTGCCTCGTCCTCGTTGTCGTCTTGGTCATCATTGCTAGTCTTGAAGCACATAATTTGAACGCCGTTTTCCGTTCATGTGTGCCGTTTTCGCTAATTCATAGTTTTTTGTTCTCGCGGCCCCGTTGACTGCGCTTCTTTCCGAGCACTGGTGCACTGCGGAGAAGCAACACTCGCAAAAGCAAGCTCCGCAGGTATTGCTTCTCTGCGGTGCACCGGTGCTCGGAAAGAAGCGCACTCAACAGGGCCGCGAGAGCAAAAAACTATGAATTAAGCGAAAACGCCATTCGAATTAAGTGGCTTATAAATACATAAAAAAGCTTAGCGGGACAACCAAAATTTTTAAACCTGTTTGAATTAACTGGAAGTACGAAATATCCGAGTTCGAATTATCGCGAGCCTACGTACAAGCAGCAAGTAGATTTCAGCTCCAAAAAACTGTTGTGTTGGATAACAGTGTATTTTTTTCTCGGTTGTATATCTATTCCGTGCGGACAAGTGATCACTTTGTGTTTTTATGTATGTGTGTTATTTCCCACCCCTCCTACAATAATGCCCTCGAGGCGATGAAGGTACTCTTTAAATAAAATAAATAAATAAATAAATAAATACTTAAAGAACAAGGTAAGTGGTGACGATTCAAAGTAATAAGAGTTGAAGACCCGGGGCCCCAAAAGGTGACACACGCAACAAAATGATGTAGTGTTGTGTTTGATCCCTTTTTCTGTTCCTGAGTTTCGGGATATTCTTAGTATGAACTTTTTCGTACATAAGCAGCACACAGTCCATAGGTCGCAGGAGCATATCCAGGCAGAAAAAGCCTTTATCTTAAAAGCAGAAGGAATATTTGCAGATGCAAGTCAGAAAGTGTCTGTGGTCCACTCATCGATGACTCGAACATTTTCTTAAAACACAGAAACTCGACCTTGGTCTTCTGCCGGGAGGCTAATCGTCTTGGCGACCTCCTCTCTTGAGCTGTGACGGGGAGCCGCGTTATGAAAGGGAAACATGTGAAGGGATATAGGAAAGAAGGAATTATACATCTGCCTTTGAGCTTAACCCATATTTTTATTTTAGGTATCCATGTAAATTATGTGCCACCTTTGGGGCGTCGAAAGCCTGGGTGCCATACTGCCAGTATGATATTCTGTTGCTTACTTAACCACAGCGTAAAATATTGCGATCAGAACAACCACGCTGGTCTAGTGTAGGGATAGTCAACGACATGGAAAAGATTGTGTGCAAGCTTCCCTTGTAGATAGCATGCATAAAATAAATGAAGTGTCAAACATACCATGTTTGCACGATTCTAACGTGGCCCCGATACTTACATGCAGGCAATTTTAGCTCCCAGATATCGAAAAATTTAATTGCTGCCGATTCTACCGCGCAGGTAAAGTAATGCACTTTGAACACCCATAAGTGCAGCTCTTAGGCGCTCGTTTCCGGCTTGAGCGGCGTCGCCGTCGCCGTCGTCGTAACCGCCGGTGCATGATGGGTAAATTTCTCTGCTAAATCTAGCGGAAAAATTTCTCCGCTAAATCTAGTGAAAAAATTTCCCCGCTAAATCTAGCGGAAAAATTTCCCCGCTAAATCTAGCGGAAAAAATTCCCCGCTAAATCTAGCGGAAAAATTTGTCCGCTAAACCTAGCGGAAAAATTTCTCTGCGGGGTCATGTGACCTGGGGGTCACGTGACCCCCCTCCTTCTCAGTACCCTTCCCTACTCCTCCTCAAGAGCTGCGCTCTAATTCGGCGTTACAGAGTTGTAAACGGCCTTCACTTTTTTTTTTTCATACAACACTTCGCGAGCTCATTGGGTCGCTGGGATTGCGAGGCTACGCAGTGTCGCTCCGTGGTTATCGTTTCCCGTCAGTGTGATGACATAAAGGCGAAAGAACGCGCGATACGGATACCAAAATATCTAATGTAAACAAACGGTCACAAAGGCGATTGGGCTAGCTGCCTTGCGTTTTTCTTTTGAGTTTTGGTTTCAATTGTAAGTGCATCTAATTTTAGGCACCCATTTTGGCAAAAAAAATGTGAGCGTTATAATCGTGCAACCAAGTATGTAGGTCAGAAAAAACGCAAAATATGTATACAACACAGCGACAAACAATGCAAGTAGCTCATTACATGAGTTAATCTTGTCCTAATTGTCTTTTTATCAGTTCAATTTGCAGCTGTGCTCGGGTGGTTTCAAGTCTAATGAGTTCTCTTTGCTCCCTGAGCACTTCCTCCCCTATAGCATAGAAACTCCGTGCAGCATCTGCTGCAGCGAGGGTTGCGTTTGCAGCCTGTATGGCCCCATTTGTGTACTTTCTCTCAAGGAGTATATTCTCATGCTCCAGATCCTGCTGTCGCTCGGCCCTTCTCTGGTACTGCTGTGCAGCCTCACGGGTCCAGCGCTGGTTGTGCTGCACAACAGGAGAGGCCAGTGTTCTCTGTGCTGCGTCGTCTTCAACTGTACTGCTGCCAGATGACGAGGGTGGCGGCGTCGTCACCCTTCCCGTGCAGCTGCTGTAGTGACACGCATGACCAGGAAATTGTTTGAGGTTAAAGGGATACTACAACAAAATTTCGGGTTTCATTTTTTGGTCTATATGTGTTCGAAGGAGCAGTATCACATCGAACACAACAATATCTTGTTAAAAAAGTCACAAAAAGGAATTTTAAAACAAATTAAGCGATTGGCAAAGAGCACCAGGTGGATGTCGCTAACGCCTCGTTTGTAATGCCAGTCTAAGAACCTTGACAGCTAGTGACGGTAACTGTCTCGCCTCCGGCTACCACAATAGAAGGGGGGAAGGAGGAACTCTCCTCTTCCAAAGAATCCTTTTTGTATGTCCCAGAAGTTGCTATTGCCCCCCTACAAGATTATAAAAGATTAACCCTTCACTCAAAATTCGTACAAAAGCAGCCGCTTTGGTGGCTGGAACGACTAGGCCATCCTCTCGACGTCAGCCTCGTCGCAGCTTTGCTCGTCCCGAGACGAACTACGTCACGATTGCGTTGGTTGTCACATGCTCTCCGCTGGCTGTTCTCCGAGCGCTTGTCAGGGTGGGCCGTTTGTAACGAAAACTATAGCCACCAGGTTCAAAATACAAACGTGCGATTGTCATTTAGGGATACAGTGGATCATATTCAACCTATTTTTGAACACGACGGGTATATTTTTAATTTCGTTGAGGTATCCCTTTAACGCATAAGCCTTTACAACGATTATCAGCAAACTTAAAAACCCAAGTCACTGACTGGCTGTGGATGGCAGCCCGAGGTACAATATTGTCCTGCATAAAGTTAATGCTCGGGACGTGTTCCGAGCATGCGCAGTGAGAAAAATGGCAGCTCACAGACGGCTATTGTTGGGCAGGAGTGAACTTGTAAATTTCAGCATAACTTAGCAAACTGCAAGGGCTACAGCTCCAGAGAGCTGCTCAGAGCATTGAAGCAAAGGATTGTGACTAGACACCATACTCGTGCACGTACGTCCTCCGTGACATGATTCTCTCCGTCCTCTATCTCTCCAAGTGATGCATGAGGGCTGCAGTGCATGACATTTTTGACGTCACCCTGGATCAGGGTACATATATGTGTGGGAGAACTGAGTGCAACGTGCGGCAACCTTAATCCAGATGTGACAGTAACACTTGTCATAATTTTACCACATATGTTGGTGGTACAACAGACTGGAGTGCCTAACCCCACAACTTCGTTTCATTGGCGGTTGGTAGAGTCGCCATATAGACATTTGTACAAGATTTAAAACAAGTAGATGTGGCACACTCACACCAGCCGTCATATGTGATTATTGTGTACCCAAGCACTGTCCGGCTAACTGGGACATTGATACTTTTTCAGATTTTGTTGGCACAGATCAGCATCGAATAAGTCATTGGTGCATTCTCAACTTAATCTCATAAGCGTTACCAAAAAAGAATGGATTTTTGCTACGTTAGCAGGCATGTACGAAGATCATGCAAAAACATTTCCACTGACAGTGGAAAAATTTGGGTATTGAGTGACCTGACTTTGAAGAAAATAGGTGATCTCAACTTGAGAGAAAGACTACCATAGCTTTGTTGATTATGATGTAAATATTTCTTTGTAATTTTGTGGTACAAATAGTTTCAAACTGTGAGTTTTACTGCATTTACCCTAATAAATGGTTTCATTGGCACTTTTTCAGCAGTGCAGAAATGGCTAAATATGTGAAGGTGGTGTCCTTGTGCTGTGTTCTGTTCTCTACTGGACAGGTTTTGACTCGTGCTCCTAATATTGTCGTTTTGCTTCATGAAGTTGGTCTCTATGTAAGGGCACGCAGCAGTAGTGTTATGCAACTGACATGTCCACTTTGAGATGGAAAACCAATATATTCTTTCATGACAATCCAAACTGTTCCCTATGCTCATCAATGTTTTCTAGGAGCATGCCAACAATTGGTGACTTTTGATATGCCTTGTGTCTGTGCTCAGTTTCATACCTATCATCAGTGACAGCAGAACATCCCTATCATCAGTTTCATAACTATCATCTTGTGGAAGTACTCATAATGTGACGAGCAGAACAGAAAAAGAATGCACCTTCAGCGCGTGCTCATTCTCTTCTGCTGCTTGTGCATCCTTGTGCTGTCAGGGCTAGTAAGCTGTAACTGGGTGCAGAGCTTCCACTGTACTATAGCCTCCATTGTTACAGTCTACATACAGTGTGCAACGATATCAAACTTGTAGGCGTAAGGGTGGGCCATTCAATTAGCACAAGTAAGGTGATTGACGAAGCCACGTGCTCATACCTACAACTTTAGTATTGTAATGTATAAAGTATCAACAGGAGCATAGCATACACAGCATGGCCTATAAAGTGTTACCTACTTTTCGGTGTCACCGATGATGACGTCAATCCCACAGATCGTCGGGGAATCGTCCCCGATCACATTTAAAACAGTCTCGACAAGTGGTGTCAGCTGATGGGGGTTGGGACCAGCACCTATGAATTGAAGTACACTTATTTTGTTTACTAGGATGTAAGCACAATTAAAGGTGGGGGAGGGGAGACAGGGTGTTCATTATTTAACATAGTATCAATGTGCGAATGAACAGAAAACGCGTAAACATGTAATTGCCAATAATGATAAGATTGTTTTCTTACCTTCGTTTTTTTTTCACCCTCAGGTTCCTATTATCCGGTCTCGGGTAATATGTGATGTTAGGCAATTTATTTCTTTTTTTTTTTTGTTTGACAGCAAACTCACTGTTGCCAGCTACCGGCTAGCCTGGCCCACTCTGTGCCTGAATCGGTTGCGTCGGAAGTGTTTGAAACGTGGAGGGGCGACGGGGCCTCTGAGCTTAACCCCGCCCCCTTTTGCAGCATTGTTTACCGCAGCTGTCTGAAATTTCAAGGGGGGGGGGGGGGGGGGGGGGGAAGGGGAAGGGGGTCTGAAGCCCCCCTGCCCTTGTTCCCACGCTACTTGCCTACATACATTTTTCTTCTGTGTTTAGTTGAACAATAGTGTCTACATTGTTTACAGTGCTAAAGACAATGTTTTTGGCAAGCAAAATTTGGACATTAATTTTGAGAAATTACGCAGGCCCACTGCATGGAACAGGATCCAAGGTGCTTTGGGGCTATTTCTGTGTTAGTGCCACTGTGTTGAAACTTGTGCGAGTAAGAGCTAATTAATCTTTGGGCTTGCCCTCTCATGATATTGAGCGAGATGTTAGTTGTCGCGCATTGAATGGGGTCTTCGGTTGAGATATTTGCCCCAAAAATTTGAGGGGCTAATATATCACTCTCTAATAAATTTGTACAGTGCACCCAAAGTTTCCAATAAAGATTTTACAAATATCGCCCTTTTTTCTGTTTTTGTAGCACAAATATTGGAACTTACCTGTCCGCTGGTCATGTTCTTTGTACAATCTGTACAAAGTTCGGCACTTTTTAAGTAATTTTCTCCATGCTTCTTGAAGTTGTTTCACTGAACGCGGAACTTGGTGGCGGCGGGTCATGGAATTGGCGACTTGGTCCCAGGCGCGTCTTTTGGTTTTAGTAGTCACGGTAGGGCCGAATTTTCCCAGGATTTGGTATTTTCGAGCCTCAACTTCCCGGACTAATTCCAATTTTTCATCTAGGGTCCAATTCTTTTGACGCAGCGGCGCGGTCCCCTTTGAGGTAGTCGCTCGGTTCATTTTCGTTTGCAGAAGGAGCATGATCGTCTGCTACCTTGGTTTGTTAATCTACACAATTGCAACATTATTCCTGCTAACCGTAAAATATTTTTTCAGAAGCAACGCGAAATAACAAACAAGTGCATTTCCAACAACTTCAGTATTGTTTATTTCTCGGTTCTACAACTTTCGCAGACGGCACAACGGAGTTGATTCGGAAAAACTGCATGTACCGGCTTTCTTGGAGGGCGAGTGAATTGAACGATCGGCAGGTCACTGGTCTTTTATGGACAACGTAGCATTTCACTAAACCCAGAGAAAGTTCTGCTACTCATCACTGCTAAAATCCATTGGACCGTTGAGCCTCTGTCCGCCGTTTATCTGCAGAACGGTTGATGCTGCAGCTGCAGTCGCACTGTAAGCAGAATACGAGGATTTTGTACAAAATGGACACCCTGAACAGAAATTTTCCCGGCGTGACTACTTTCAATAAACCGCAATCGCTACTCAAAAGGCAACTCTCCGTAATGCTTCCTTTCAATAAACGTATTCTGATCCTGCTCCTGCTTGAAGTTAGTTTCACAGCGCTCAACATAACGTGAGTATGAGGCTGGCCTCATCACAACCCTATCGCGAAATGTTTTGGTGCTCACCGTAAAACGCTTGTCGTACTCGGCTATCGTGTTCCTTGGAACGCATCCCACATTTCGGCGCTGCGATGCATGATTCTTGCCGTGCTTCAATGAAGCCGATGCGAAGCTTCGACAGTCGGCGACTCCGGGCCACTGTACTTCTACAAATCGGTGACTCTGAGCCACTGTTTGTCGACGGGCTGCTGCCGTCGACTTCAGTCGCAATCCCCTCGAAATATCAGTTTCTTTAAGGCGCACGTAGGATACTTGTACACTCTTAACTTAGAACACGGAACCTAAATCATCGCTCTGAAGACAAACACCAATGCGATCGCGACCGCGGAAACTGCGTACGCCGCAGCCATTTTGTCGAACGACGCGACGGGGCAATGCGTAGCTCCCCGTATCCCTACCGAGCCAGTCACGTGACTAAAAAATCCCTCTCCTAGGTACTGCGGCTAACTTTAGCCGCGGTTAGCTGTTCGAGCAAACGGGCCCAGAAGACGAAAGCGAGAGAGAGAAACATACACGAGAGGACGAAGCCGTACTCGCAAGTAAAGTTTTATTAGTGGAAGAAAAAGAACAAAACAACGTAGCCGAAAAAATAACATCAACAACCTCTTACTCCTTTAGCAAGCACCACACTAGCTTCGGAGCTGAACTACTTCAACCAACGCTATTCATATCAGCTTGCACAAAGCGAACCTTTTCGTATCTGACAGAGCCACCGAAGAAGTGCTGAGGCATAGGTCCCCCAAAGTGGAAATAAAAATGCGTCTATAATCTTTCTTGTTGTTTTTGCTTTTCCTCGTGTTTGGCCAGGACAGCAA